TTGGAAATTTCGCTAGTGCTGGACTAGGAAATGTAAATGTAATAGGCGCTGGGCCGCAATAAGTTTCGCTAGTGCTGGACTAGGAAATGTAAATAGGCGCTGGGCCGTAATAGGAAGCTGCCGCGCGGGGCTTGCTTAGAAAATGGTAGGTCGCGTGCCGAAGACAGCGCGTTGTTGATAAGACCGCGCGAGATCTTCTCGAAGGTTCGAAAGAGACAGCGAGACGCTATGACGTCGCGTCGCGTATTCCCGCGCATTTCCCGTGACTCTACACTCTTTATTTTTGATGAATAATATCAGATTTTAATTAACGCGGTAAAGGATGCGGCTGATCTACTGATCGTAGCTCGCACCGAAGACTGAATTATACTTGTACTCGACACGACTAATCCGTGGAGGACGACTATGCGTATTAGAGCTGTGATTCTTTCGATTGCCGATTAGCAACTAATTTTTCGGGCGCGTGCCGTACCGGCTTCGCTTTCCGCTCGACCACCCCGTGCCTCCGCGGAGTAGCCCTAACGGTCACGAAGGTCGCCGAACCAAACCGATTCACGAAGGTCCCCGAACCAAACCGATCCCGGACGAACCTGTCGATTCGCGAGTCGTAACGGACAAGCTCGAACCTGTCCTTTCTCGAATGATCCGGTAAAAACTGGATTTTAGCTATAGGCGCACGTGTTCTCGATCAACAGCACGTGCTTGTTTATGCGACGCAATTTCGGACTACGTGTTTCCCCCTTTTTCTTGGAATTCGACTCGACAAAACATGATATAATTACGTTAACAATTGCATGTGTAATAAGTGATTAAAGTTTTTAACACAAAAAAGGACGGCGAATGGAAAAGAAAGAGAGGCAGAAGGTTGAAGCGTTCGGCAAACATGAAAGACTTGTATCGAAAGACTACCGCGCCGGTAAACTATGCTTCGCGGCCAGCCAGTGCTGCTCAACGTTGGAGCCGCACGCTGGTCGCTTTGTCCACTTTCTGGGCGTATCGGAATAAATATACGGCGCGCTTCAACAACAACCAATAGTTTTTTTTTTACAAGGCCTACGTTTCTCTTGTCACCCCTGTTTTTCATTACAATATATTTTCTACAAGTAAAGTGTTGAATTCTCATGTTAATTAATAAGCACAAATAAATCGATGTGTTTAGAGTTAATGGGTCAACTTCGCTGATTAAAATGATACCAAACAAGACGTAAATCGGGACCTAATTACTTGTAATAAATTATTAGAGCAATATGTTGGGTATAACTACAACGTTTGGAATAACAAGTATATATGTTTGAAATTACGTCATGTTTGAAATCATTTTAACCCGAAAAATGTCGCAAACATGTTTCATGAAAAAATGTTACATAAAAAAAGAAGCAAGAAGTAACAAAGTTTGCATATTTGTAGTGCACAAAAATGTTGTACACAATACCCACTTGTGCATATAAAAATTATTAAAAATTTAACAAAGTTTATAAAACTGCATAATCGAATGTTGCTTACTCCAATTACGACATAGTCCTTTTTGCACGAGGACAAGGGTGGTGGAAGGGATTCATTTCGATATTTCTTGTAAGTGGGGATGTTCGGGACACACCATCGGTCGTGATGGTCAATTGTAAATCATTCGTAAACCGACTAACAAGAACGTTCGAAGAAGTACGTATAATATTCTGAACGGCAACGCCATATATATATTTTATAGTGAAATAATAAATAAACTGTTTCATTTACAGATGGAAATTGAGAACGCTACGCTCGAAGCGGAAGAAAAAATTCCAACTGAAGGAACGAAAGAAGAAAAGGAAATAAATCCACCACAGGAGGGAACAGCAGAGGTCTCTTCTGAAATGGCAAAAGTAAGTAAAGTATTTGATATTTATTTAATATTACTTGTTTGTTTGTGACAGATTAGATACTCGCGAAAAATTATTGTTACTGGCATAATGAATTCTGCCTACAAGTGTGTGTGCATGGCATCATATGTATGCATGATTTCCGAACGAATTCGTGAACAAAGTCGTTTGTTCGAAAGCGGGTGGCAGACAATGCTGAAACCGACTCGTATGATAGTGCAAACCCACATTTATAAGCAGAATTCAATACGTTCGTAAAAATAGATGTTCCCTATTATTTCGAAAACTTGTAATTTTTTACATTAAAAATTTTTAATACGGTTATATGAATATTTTACATTTTTATTCTACCGTTTCAGATGAAAAAATTATTAAAATACTTAATATATTCCCGTGGTGGTGGCGGCAGACGCGGGCGTGGTGGTGCCGGCAGAGGCGGCCGTGGTGGCGGCGGCGGAGCCGGGCGTGGTGGTCGCGGCAGAGGTCGCGGCTCGTTAAAATACCACGTTCATATACATATGAAATAAATTGCATAATACTTATAATTTATAATACTTAATTTATAATACTTTAATAAATTTTTAATATAATTTATGTATTCATGTAGTTAATTCCTGTAAACGTATATACTCTACCACTCAAAACTATTAGGACATTTGTGAAATATGTATTAGTATCTCGTAAAATTTATTTTAATACCAAAAACAGTATTGATTAATTCTTTGATTATACAATTCATTCTTATTAGTTTCTTATGAAATATCTAGTGTTTGAAATTAAAAATTATGTACATATGTGGTCCTTATTGTAAGCGTGCGGTGTACGATACATCTTTATACATATGTAACATCCCGGGAAGAGTTTTTTTCTTTTTGATATGGCAGTACTGTGCTCTAATTCAATTACCCACCGTGAAAATAGTCAATTACCCACCGTGAGAATAATTTAATTACCGACAATATTAGACAATTACCGACAGTACATTATATATCAATTACCTTATGTATTAATTTCGACAGTCGGTAATCGAGCATATATGTATATATTAATTTTCAATAATTATTTTATGTTTTCAATTTAAAAGGAGTAATATGTTTCACTAAATCAATCAAATGTTAAGTTAATTTATTTAAACAAAATTAATGTATTATTTTATAGCTATTGTAATAAATGTATAATTCTATATGGAAATTTCCGCAATGCTATGTGCCTACGTGCCGCGATGCTCGCCCCGAATTTCCTACTATTCTCGCGTAATCCTAGAGAAGGATAGGAATACATTTTACAATTAGGATATTATTAGTTATTAAAAACCATTAGTTAAACAAATCAGTCAATACATATCGAGCGTACTAATATTATGTTATCCGGAACCAAAATCAGATTGTAACACTTCTTCCTTCCCTGATTAGCCGAGCGAAAGATGTTGCGAGAGGAGAGTACGGACCTTTTTAGAATAGGGTTCGCGTTGAAAGATTTCAAGGCAAGAGGAAGGACAGCAATTCAGCCAATGACACACTCGTTAAAATCTGGTAGACACGAAATTTATTAAACTTTAGTATTTAATATGGATAGTTTATAAATTCTTTGTTCTTATACCCCGAGCGCTTGAACGTGGCCCCGCGATATTAATGGCAAAATTCTTTGAAAAGCAAATCCGCTGATGGGAGATTGTGATATCCGCTTTAGACTAGATTTCTGTTCTTATACTCCGGAGAGTTTACAAAAACGATTTGGAATTCGCTAGCTACTGATGTTTATACCCAGATGAGCGTTCGTCACCTAGCGTGGTAAATATATATTCGGCCTTGACAAGGCCGCGGCGAGTGACACGTGCGACAAAAACCTCTTTGACTTTAATACATTGTTTGGAAGTTATTCTAGCTAGGATGCTGGTGCTCAACTCGCGGCGCACTATCGTTAGACTACGCTCTTTAGAGCGTGTGACACAGGAATGTTCAAAATATGATCAGTGGGTTTGTGAGCCACTCAATCACATTTGACATTGGCCACGCCACTGTGGCTATGAGCTAACAGTAAGAGAAGGAATGCACACTCGAGAATCGTGTGGGTTCCGGCCCCTCTGTAACTCACGACACACAAGGGTAACGATAGCTCCAAATCCTCAATTCTGGTTCCGAGTCACGCCAAAAAGAACTTCCAAATTGCAGTAAACTGCCCGAGCTCAGGAGAGAGTGAATAACGAACCTGAGGGTTTCTGGGGCCTGAAGGCTTCGTTATCACCCCTGGCT